GGATGGGAGAATGGGTAGGAAAGAGGGAACCGATTACATGGAACTGTGTGTGACCTCCTCCCTGGGGGACAGACAACCGAAAAGTGGGTGAAGGGAGACATCGGACAGGGAAAGATATGACAAAATACCCATTTATAAACTATCAAGGGCTCATGCGGGAGGGGGGAGCGGGGAGGGAGGGGAAAAATGAGGGGGTTTAAATGGAGAGAAAATGTTTTGAGAAACGATGTACAAATGCACTTCACACAATTGATGTGTGTATGGATTGGGATAACAGTTGTATGAGCCCCTAATAAAATGTTAAAAAAAAAGTTTACATATCCTAAAAAAAAAAAAAGATATTAAATAACAAAAGTAATATATAATTGATCAAGAATTCATGAAGGTGGGAGCATGGGGGAGGGAGGGGGGAAAAAGAGGAGCTGATACCAGGGCTCAAGTAGAAAGAAAAAGTTTTGGAAATGTTGCTGGCAACATATGTACAAGTGTGCTTAATACAATTGAATGATGGATTGTTATATGTAAGAGCCCCCAATAAAATGATTAAAAAAAGGAAACATAAGATTTTCAGTATTGGAAACCTTATATTGGGTCCGTCAACTCGATGGAAGTGGACTTGTTTTGTTGGTTTTATTATTAATACGTGAAGTACGTTAGAGGAAAATACAGAATATATGTATGAACAAACTGTAAAGTTCAACAGTTATTAGCTATAAGAAAATGTCAAAAGATAATGCTAGATGTGAAAACCACATTTTAGGTTCAAAAACAATTGATCCGGACTGAACCACACACAAAAAGGAGAACAAAAAACACACACAAACATGAAAATGCGCATGCATTCCCAGAAGAGAACATATGAGAACTGAGGAATGATATCAAACAGCCTAACATGTATGAAAAGAAATTTTCAGAAGGGAGCAGTACGAATATTTGAAGAGATAAAGTCCAATGACTTTCCAATTATAATGAAATGTGTCAAACCACAAACTTAAGAAGTTCAGAGACCCCCAAACATGATAACTATACCACCAATCACAATAAAAGAAAACACATGAAAAACTGACGTTTCCATTACAAAGAAGGCCTAGTCTCTAAGAAATGTTCAAGAAAGTTCTTCAGGCAAGATGATCAAATGAAAGAAATCTGGATCAACGCAAGAAATAAAGATCCTAAAACTGCAACAAAAATCCCAAACCAGTCCGTAGCTGTTCAAACACATAGTGACTTTGGAAGACAGTAGAACTGTAAATCTTTAGACAGACAAACTATCCCATCATTTGTATGCAGAATAGTTTGTTAGCAGCTGAGTGCTTGATGGCCAAGACTCCTTAAATAGCCAAAGTGAAACAGTGTTTTCTTATTGCATATCTAGAAGTATACCTTATCAGTTGTTTTTTGACCTATTTTAATTTTTTTCTAGTTTTTAATTGTTTTGTTTTCTTTTTGGATTGAGGTTCTTCTGTGTTGTATTTTGTTACTGGTTTTGTTGTTGTTGTTTTTGGTATGGGTCTTTATATGAAATCCAGGATAGGTAAATCTATAGAGACAGTAACTGGATTAATAGTTTCTTAGAGCTATGGCAGCAAAAGTTGGGGGAAAATGGGGAGCTAGTAATGATTAGTACAATAATAAATAAAATGTCCTAAAACTTATTGTGGTGATGACCACACAACTCTTGTTAATATATTTAAACCACTGAAGTGTATGATATGTGAATGATAGGCCAATAAAACTGTTAAAAAGAATACAGTAATAATGTTTTGATGCATACTGCAAAGTGAAAAGTGACTCCCATTTGTTATAAGAAACCATTGTAGATACCTTAAAATTTAATATAATTGACTTTACAAGAGTTGTGATTATGGATATACACGCTGTTAAATCTTTTCCAAACGAACATTATGCAGTGCATGACTGCAAAATGTGAAATCATAAGAAATAAGATTTTTTTAAAAAAAAGAATGACAACCATGACCATAGCACACAAGATGGAAGGAAGGAATTGGAAATATTCTTAAACTAAACAGTGAAATGATCTAATGTTATTTGAAGGTTGTTATAGTTGTGTGCCATCTAGTTTATTCCAAATCATTGCAAGGCAGGAGGGCAGATTACAACTGTCCCACATTGTAATCAGAAGCAGATTGCAAGGTATTTCTTGCATGGAGTGACTGGTGGGTTCTTAACTGCTGCCCCGCTGCCCAGTGCAGTAACCATTGTTCAGACAGGGTTTCTTTCATTTGAAGGTTAGATTGATTTAAGAAATACAGTACAATATTGAAAATCTTGATTGTGATGGTGGTTACCAGACCAAACTTTGTCCAAACTCATAGAATTGTATAGTTAAATGAATAAAATGTACTTAATAGAGAGAACCTCAAAAAACATGAGGGTTTTTTTTTTCTTTAAAGGAAATTATCATGCATAACTTACCTTTTTCACCCTGTTGTCTTCTCTTTTTTCCCCTGTTCTGAAACCAATGATGAGAAACCATCTATCTTCCTGTGTTACCTAAACTTACCTTTCCTTTTACTTCCTGTGACGAGGTTTTATTTCTAAAATCTGGTAGTGGAGAGAGTTCTATACCTCTTCACAATAATAAGTGCGCACACACACACACACAAACACACCTCTAAACTACAATATGTATGGAACCATGGCTACTGCCAATTTGACATACAGAAAATTGTTTTACGTCTCTGCATAGATATGAAGGCCCAACCAAGATCACACAAATGTAAATTAATTATTTAGACTGTGATAGACATGAGGTAACATACACATCGGTGTCTGTATCCTATCAATTCCTATAGCGCACCGATTCTGTTCACAGGTTAGGTCTAAATGGTTTGAAAAACCTTTTGCTATGAATATTGGTCTTCTCTCTATTCTGTATACTCACTACGGTTCTTTATGCCTTTAGAACCTTTCCACGGGCTATTAATAATATGTAGTTTCTCTATGATAGGGTACGTGTGTATAAAATTTTAAAAACCACTGGCCCCAACCTGAGTAGATGAATTAGAAAAGAAGCCCCTTTTGGGCAGATGTAGCCCTCAAAGTGCAAGGCTAGGCTAGAAAATGGCACCTTTGTCTGGATAACAAAGAATCTCCTTCCTCTGAGCTTAGACCAGAAAACCTCTGTAACACTCATGCTTTCTACCCGGGACCCTTCTGTAAGGGCTGTCCAAGGGTGCAATGTAGCAATGATGAAACATACAACTTTCCCCTACTTCTTAAATGCTTCCTCCCCCCCACTGTCATGATCCCAATTCTACCTTACAAATCTGGCTAGACCAGAGGATGTACACTGGTACAGATAGGAACTGGAAATGCAGGGAATCCAGGACAGATGAACCCCTCAGGATCAGTGGTGAGAGTGGAGATATCCGGAGGGTGGAGGGAAGGTGGGATAGGAAGGGGGAACCGATTACAAGGATCTACGTATAACCTCCTCCTTGGGGGATGGAGAACAGAAAAGTGGGTGAAGGAAGATGTCGGGCAGTGTAAGATATAACAAAATAATAATAATTAATTAATTATCAAGGGTTCAAGAGGGAGAAGGGGAGGGAGGGGGGAAATGAGCTGATATCAAGGGCTCAAGTAGAAAGCAAATGTTTTGAGAATGATAATGGCAACAAATATACAAATGTGCTTGACACAATGGATGCATGTATGGATTGTGATAAGAGTTGTATGAGCCCCCAATAAATTTTTTTATATCATATGTTTTATAGTCTAGAACAAGTTTTGGCCTAGAGACAGTGATCTGGATTTTGAGGAAAGCTTTATATAAAGAAAGAAATGTGTTCATGTAAAATGTTATATAACATTGAGAAATTGGCAGTTCTGTGTATTAGAGTGGAAGGAAAGTAGCACCTAATCAAAGGGATCGGGTTACTAAAGCCCACCCCAGCCAAGCTAAACTCACTGCTGTCCAGTTGATGCAGACTCACAACGACTTTACAGCATAGAATAGAACTGGCCCAGTGAGTTGCTGGGACCTACTACCTCATAACACTGCCACTGCCTCTGGCTAGAATGCATTCATATCACCCTATACAATTATAACTTGATTAATGTATATGTAGCCTCCTGGGATGAGTTTAAATGTCACTTCCCCATGGAGGCCAACACTGGCACTTCAATACGAATATAAAGGAAGCCTCTCAGTTCTACACTTGCATATTACGTTATTTTCTTACAGAGCATATATACAATGGTAATTACACTATTATCTACATGCTTCTTTATATACTATATAAGCTTTTTGCCCGCTCTGGTCAACCCTCCATGCAAAAACATAATGACTTACCGTATATACTCGAGTATAAGCCGACCTGAATATCCACCGAGGTACCCAATTTCACCACAGAAACAGCATTAAAATGTGCTGGAAAAACTTGACTTATACTCGAGTATGTATGGCACTCATTTCTAGACTGTAAGCCCCAGAAGTGCAGGAACCTTGTCTGTTTTATTCATCAAATTATCCTTAAAGACTCAGTGGAACTTGGAACGTAATAAATGCTCATGAAATAAATGCAGAATTTTAGCAAATTCTCACATGCACACATATATATTCATGTACAGAGTATATAAAATAGAATGTAACGGAAACGTTCCATTCTAGAACATTTAGTTTAAAAGTTGAACGTGGGCAGCTAGAATGTTACAGATGTACAACACAAAGCAAGTAATCTTTTCATTTGGATACATCTCGATTAAATTAGTTCCTTATTAAACTGGTGATTTTATTTTCTTCTGTCTGCTAGTAAGCTTTAGAACTTATGTGTGGTTGTTTAGTTCACAATAGATTGAACAATCCATTCCTTTTTGTAATAGTCATTTTTCAGGTATCACTGAGATATCTTAATTTCATTCATCCCTCAAGGTGAAATATCATAATTTACATTATTTGATTACAGTGTGAAGTTTTGACTCATAGTTATTGCGGCTACTGGAAAATAAATAATGATTAAGCTAGCTCCACTTACCAAATAGATTCTGCCATAAGTACCAAGGCCAATGGCTTTATCCAGTGAGAATATTCCAGTTGGATCCTGCAAAAAGTTGAACAAAAACTGTGGCTCTCCTTGGGAAAATGGCTAAGCATTTAACTATCTTGAATGGTATTTCAATCTGCCTTGTTCCCTTAGTAGTTGCATGGAGGAAGTCTTAAATTTATTTAGCAAAAAATAAACATGTTACAACCTCTTAACCGTTTGAACTGGGTGTAGTCATATATAAAAAGGAAATAATGATACAGGCATTAAGTGATTGTGTAAATGAATTACCATCACAATTCATTTCATATTATGCAAAGGCAATTATGCAAAGACAAATCATCATATACCTGATGTAATTAGAAAATATAGAAATAAGCTCATTTACTTTTAATGTCCATCTTTGGAGTGCTAACAAAACAAGAAGAAAGTTTAACACAGCAATGATGAGTAAACATTAGATATAAAGTCTAGATGACTGATTTATGGAAGAGATATCCTAGAAATTAATGTCTTCCTTTTTATTTGCCCCACCCCCACTCCCTGCCTATCCCGGCTATTGTCTTTCTAAATACAATTAACAAAGCAAGATTATGGCATTAAAAACATCATTTGGTAAAAACAACAACTAGACAGTATTTTTGTTTATTTATCTTTGCATCAACTGAATACATTACCATGCCATACATTTACTCATATTTGCTCTCCATTTTAATCTTAAATATGTTGTCAGGAGAGAAAAAAATATATAACATTTTTAAGGATAGCTTCCTCAGTCTTCCAAATCCATCCTCAAACACTGTTTTCTTACCTTAAAATATGGGTGCTTCTTTCTTGTTCACAAGCGTATGTCATGGAATTTTTTCACCGCTTCAATTTTTACTCTACCCACCTATTTTAATAAAATTTCTATGACATGTGGATACTTACTTATATTTAATAATTGTGGGAGCATTGGCACGTTTTTGGAAATTTGCACACCCTATAGAAAGCACATTTTAAACACATAACCATTTTTATCACCTTTAAATGTGCGTAAAACCATTGAACATATGCAACGCATATGATGGAAATCAGACTCGTTAGAACTGACGTGATATTTGTTATCTAGCACAATTGCTACAGGGAATGGATTACTAGGGTCACTTTCATCAAGATTCAGGTGGACAGTGTCGGGCACCTTGAGTTTTAGCCTCAAGTCTGCTGTTCATTATCTGCATGAGTATCATTTACAGTCTCTGAAACTCAAAGTATCTTACACATAAAAGGAACACGTTCTTCTAGGTGATTTCTCAGCTCTAAATCCTATAGAAAAAAATAAGATTCCACCATAAGAATATCCAGATGTTTTCCAGGGGATTGATAAGAAAGCAGCACCCTATTTCCTCAAAGTTAAAGTCACAATACTTAAAAGAACAATAATAAGCAAATGTTTCATGTATCACACCCCTATGAAAATGTGAACATTCTTTAAAAATATAATTTTGAGAATTGTGTAGACATAAAATTAACTTATTCCAGTGCTTTTGATATTAAGCCTATCATATTTGTCATTAAGAAGGTTATCCTTAAACAATAAAGGCTTCAATACTTTATCACTTTGGCATATTCCTTTGGAAGATATCATTGAGGAATTTATATTAATTATTATTAACTCTGGAGAAACAGCCTCTGGACATCTGTCAAAATAATCAAATACATTAGCTTATTCTGATTGGTAAACCAATCTCCATTATCATCAAAGCTATGTTTTTAGCTGGGGTGGGCGAGGGTCACCATGTAGTAGAGAATAATTGTATTCTTTGTTTAACCTTTATTTCTGAATCTTTGAACATTTCTCAAACTCTCATTGAAGTATGTAGTTACTGGACATTTTGTTCTGTCGTACATGGGGTCTCTAACTGGAAGGCACCTAACAATAACATTTAATTCCTTAAAAGAGACACCAAGGAAAGGAACTGGGATAGTAGATTTTCTCTGGAGGAAGTTCATGGAAGCCTTGTTTTATATACACTCATTGTTTTGAAACATCTTCCTGCTTGCAAATAATCATATCATCAGAATTCTCTCAACCCTCACATTTCATGAAAGAATGGTCCATTTTTTTTCCTGTTTTTACAGGCAACTCAAGGAAATATTCATCTATTCTAAGACCACATGCTTATTAATTTCAAGTGATAGTGTTTTCCTCTCTAACCGATCTGCTGGAGAAACGTGAGGCTATCTGTTCCCCTAAAGGTTTACAGCCTCAGAAACCGCATCTATGGTGACTATGAGTCAGAATTGACTCAATGACAGTGAGGTTTTTTGGTTTGGTTTTCATTTAACAACACACCAGTGCCTTTCCAGATTAAATAATGGTCAGACTAAGATACCAAAAAGAAAAACCCACTGCTATCCAGTCGTTTCTGCCATATATGAGGCTTTTGAGGTGGCAAACCTTTATGGGAACCAAGAGACTCATCTTTCTCTGGCTGAGTGGCTAGAGTGTTTAAACTGATAACCTTCCAGTTAGCAGTCCAATACTTAAATTACTGAAATAATAAGACCTAACTCTTTACATATTATTGTTCACCAAATTACAGCAAAACAAGTTCATTCTGGTATCCCAAGGAAGCGAGCACTGAAAAGGTCACAGAGCATGTAAAATGTCTCCATCAGAGGAGTCTCTGCTCTGCCATTGTAAGATAAGAAAACCAGAAGAGAGGTTTTTTTAAATCTATTACTGCTATATCAAATTGGAGATTCAAGGGTTTGTTATGGTTTGGTGTCTCACTTGAGTAAACAGGGCAGTACACAAAAAGCTCTAATTGCATAAAAGATGTTCTCAAAAGAAGAAATTACTAAAAAAATCTAGGTCTTTAAACATTTTTGAACCAAAATCTATTACGCAAACGATTTATCAGTTATCATTTTGAATGTATCTAAACTATCTCCTGCAATTTAGAAATCCTGGTCTGGGTGCTCCTTGAAAGCTAGGGAAGGGTAAGGAATGAACACCTTGATGAATACTTGTATTAAGAGCTAAGGGCTTCCATAAGCAAGGGGAGGGGGAAAGAACAGGAAGGAAAAGAGCCACTAGAAGGCAGTATTTACCGGTCAAGGGAGGACTTTCAGAAGCAGCGCAGGAAGGACAGGACCAAATATGGTAGAGGTGGAGGAGGAACACATGGTCAATAGGGATAGCAAGGGAATCACTACTCAAATTTGAGGTGTGATTTCAGATTTGGGGCAGTGAAGGAGAGTAAGAGAGCAGGTTCCAATAGCCAGGCAGCAAAAGAAAGGAAAGCAAGTGCACTGTACGTAGACGCTAGTAGAGGTTTTCTTCACTTTCAGTTAAGTACTAAAAATAGCAATATTAAGAAAAGTTTATGAGCTGAGACAGAGTCTGAAGGTGGTAGATGTGCCAAAGAGAAGTGCCAGAATGAGCTTCAGAGATAGACTTGGAGAACTGATCTTCACAATTCACACGGAGTGCTTAGAAAGGCATATCTCTGCCTCTTGGTGGCTGGGTCTCCAAATGTGGGTGTCACGCATGCCCACTATGTAAAAACCATCAATGGAATCTAGTGAAAATCAGATTCCTTGGCCCTACCAAGGAATTATTAAATCAGAATATCTGAGGATAGGCCTAAGGAATCTTCATTTGAAAAAGATCATCAGATAACTTTTGTTAGCCAACATGGGAACATCACTACTGTAGACTGGAAAGAGAAAACAAAATATATTGAAGAAAAATGTGCTAAGGTGATATTCTAGGATACGTAATGGACCGTATGCACAATGTGCGTATCAATTCTAGTGGACACAAATGTAAAATTACTTCAAAACAGGGGCACTAAGGGGCTTGGTACAAAGGAAGGTTACCTTCATCTGGGTGGCAGAAAATTGGGAAAGCTGAGAAATATATTTAAATATAAACCAAATGTAGCGCAAATATAGATTTTGGATCATGTGCTATTTCAGATCACCTCTTACACTACTTCCCTCCAAGCCTGTCCAATTCTGACCCCAATATAGATTAGGACTACACATAGCAGTGTCAAATACTAAGGCCACAGCCATGAGGAATGCCATTACCATACTGGGCACAGAAGCCAAAGGGGAATATCATATTGAAAGACATGCCAGATTTGGAGATGATTAGTTTCCAGTCGCAAGGTTTGGGAGCACAGGCATATTCGGAGAAAACACACACAAACACACACACACACACACACACACACACACACACGTATTGCTACAGATATAATGAATATATACGGCACACATACTCACAGATATGTCTAAAGACAGAAGGCTTTACAATTCTCTTTTCAAAAAGGAACCACAAACCACAAATATCTGGGCTTTTTGTTTTCTTTTATTACCAACAGGATAGACTCATTTGATAGTGAATCCGGAAAACTTAGTGCCACCCATTAATTAACATGTAATGGAGTTGACCTATTGGACTGAAAATTAGGTTGACTCTTTTATATGTCTAAGGCATCCTGAAGAGAAAAATCTAACACCAGTTGCCTCCCAGTGTCCCCGGCTTTCACTCCTGCTTACAGTTAATTTTATGTGTGTGTGTGTGTGTGTGTGTGTGTGTCTCCGTGGTAAAAATATGCACAGCAAAACATATCTCAATGCAACAATTTCAACATCTAAAATTCAGTGACACTGCTTACGCTCTTCAAGTTATTCAACCCTGTTCGTAACCCTTTTCCAAATCACTTTACCATTAACATAAGTTCACGGCTCCTTAATTCTGCTTACAAATTAAGTATAAAAATAATATCTAATGGCTGTCTACTAACAAAAATAATAGATAACCTTCCTTGGATTTCTTTAAATCTCAATAGGCACAACAAGCCTCACCTCTCCCAAGGGTTCTTGTCGCATAGTCTTTTTAGCTGTCCCAACCTATAAAGTTCACGTTCCCTCAATGTTTAATTATTCTATTCTTCTCTGCATGATTGTTTAGTCCTCATATTTTTAATTCTTCACTTTAAGGTGCCAATCACCCTTTATTGCTTGGCTGTTGCCAAGTTAGTATCCTTGGAGCTGAGAAGATGTCAGCTTTCTGCAAATTTATGGGAAGGTACAGTACCATATATAGGTTTCTTTACTTCTAACCACCACCATCTCCTTATCAAAAGGAAAACTTTCAAACTGTTCATTTAGTTAACACTTGACCTCCTCCTTTACTTTTATTTCTTCAGAGGCTCAGGAGATAAATCAAATGCAAAGCAAAGAAATTCACAAATCTCTGATATATATATATATATATACACACACATATATATACACACATATAAAATCAATGGCCAAAGCAACAAGGAACTCTTTTCTGGTTCTCTACAATTTAACATAAAGGAAATGTTAAAGGGGGTCTTGTTTCTTCTACTAGATTTCGTGGGGTTTGGGGCCTTGGGGTTTGGCCAGGGAGAATCATGAATGATATGCTTGGGTGGCCAAGCCCTTCAAACATGGCTTTTGTATAAATTTTAGAAGTTTAGTAACTTTTGGAAGCTGAAGACCACGAGGTTTCACTAATCTATAAGGTAAATCCACTCAGCCATTTCTTGATGGCTACATTACATTGTCTTCTTACTGCTCCTACTTTAAAAACCAACTTAATCTTTCTTCCTCACGCCATGTCCTTTCACCTTCAGAAAATTAATATTCTAGTGGACTGCAATAGAGAGACTGGGATCTTTCCTTTGATTTCGAAGGCGGTTCCCACCAAAGTCTTACATCCGGGAGCTGGGACTGCGTCACTTAGTCTGGGTCATTTCTCTCCATTCAGTGTGTGTATAAGATTTTTTCTATTTGTTCCCCTTGAGTTTAAAAGCCCCTGTCCTATAATTTCTATGAGGACTTTCCTAATCCTTGCGTTGTCACTTTTAGGAAGTAATTTATTTCAGTTTGCCCATGCATGGTTTCACATGTTTGCCTCAATTTGCTCTTCGGCTCACCCCCCGCCCCTGGACTGTACATAGAGAATGTTAGAAGGGGATAATATTTATGTTTTGCTTTACATTTTTCAGTGGATGCAAATTTAATCTGGATATGAAAGTGCTGTTCAGAAAGGAAATGTATTTCTTGTATTTCTTGTTTGTACACAGAGAAGGAAAGAATTGGGGCACAAGTGCTGTGGAGAAAAATTTTATGAAGCAGCATCAATAATCACTGTTAATATTTGTAATTTATCATGTTTGTATTGAAGTTGTTGTGGTTGTTGTTAATGGTTAGGAATTTCCTAAAATGTAACCCAAGTAGTTACCTCCCTCCTCACTCCATTTTATAATTAATTTATATAGGCAAGGCTTTGAGAACACTCTGTTTTCTGAGGGGCCAGGCATCAGCCATCATCATGAAGACCACCTTTAAATGACAAATATGAACAAAATGAAGCCAGCCAGCCTTTGAGTAGCCCCATAACCTCACGGTTAATATTTAGCCTTTCCCAAAGCAAGCAGGCCAGTGCCCTGAACTACAGTTGCTTGGTGATAATTCCAGCATGGTGCCTGCTTTTCTGAGAGTCCAGGGGCCCTATGCATTCAAGGGAGGGTGCGAGTGAAATGCCAATCTAAAAAGGGAACTTAAAAAAACGAACTTGGGTAGGATCCAATGTCAGCCAGGAACCAGATGCCAATCAAATGAAGGCTGCCACTCAGAGTAAATCTACTAATACCGATGGCAACAATAATTTAACACTCAAATACAATGGTGGAGGAAAGCTAGGCATTCAGGAAAAAAGAAACACACAAACGAAAGCCACAAGAAACAGCAAGATTTTGTTAGCTATGGGTGCAATCCTTTTTCTTTTTAAAGGTGCGCGCGTGCGTGTGTGTGTGTGTGTGTGTGTGTGTGTGTGTGTATGTAGTAGTAATAGTAGAATTCACTTCTTCCCTAATTGGTCCCCAGTTCTCTCACTCCAGCAACCCTAGATGAGGGGGGCATTGCACTAGCAAGAATGAGGTTTTGTGGTTACGTGCCATCGAGTAAGTTCGAGAAAATGCTCTTATCTCACAGCCATCCAGTTGATTTGGACTCCTAGCAACCCAACAGGGCGGGGTAGAACTGGCCCTGTGGGTTTCTGAGATGGTAACTCTTTAATGGAGTAGAACAGCTCCTCAGAAGCGGCTGGTGGTTTGGAACTGCTGACCTCGTGGTTTAGCAGTTCCGCCCTTAAGTACGATGATGCCACCCAACAGTGTGAGGACTTTTTTTTTGAAACTGGTGTGTTTTAGAAGTAAAAATCACTGAGGCCAAAGCAGCAGGGGATGGGCCTGCAATGGTGGCGGAGTGTTCCCTGAAAGCCACGCGCTCTTCCATGCGCTCTTGGGGCAGGCACTTCCGGGACCAAGCAGGCCAAACAAGCTGTTTGGGCCCACAACCCCCTAGGACACTCTACCCCCCTCCCTCCACCACCACCTCTGCCTCTCTTCTCAGTTTGGCAAGGTCAGGCACTTAGAGGGGCGTCTTTTAGGCTCCCCTTGAGGCCCTGAGGTCCCTTCCCTCGAAGTCCTGGCCCTGGGTGCAGGTTTACAGGTCTTCGCCCTCCCCCGCGCCCCCGCGCCCTCTCCCCCGTTTTCAGAACCAGCAACACTTTGGGGATGATGGGCGAGTTCCACTCACCGGCAAGTGGCCCAGATCCGTGACCTCCTTGTCCCTCCAGCCCCCAGGTCCCGCCATGGCTTCGAGCTGATGGGGAGCGAGGTGGCGGCTCAGGATCTGAAGGGGGAGTTGAAAGGGGGAGGGAGAGGGGATAAGGGAAAAGAGTGGGGAGCAAGGGTTGGGGGGTTGGAGGAATGGAAAATGGAGGGAAAAGAGCGGCGGGTGGAGTGGAGCTGGAGTTGAAGAGGCGGGAAAGCTAGTTGGGCTCTGCGGGAAAAGCGCCGGAGCGTTGGTTCGCAAGAGCAACTCGCTGGAGAGGTGTCCCGTGCGGTGTCGGTCCGCGCAGGCTGGGTGCGCCTCTTTCAGGGTGGGGAGGGGGGCGGCGCCAGGGGGGGGCCTGCCCATCAGCTCCAAGGGGATTGGTGCAGCGTCACGTCGCCAGGTGGGCAGCCGCGCGGCCCGGAGGCGGGCTGGCGGGAGGGGAGGGCACCAACCGAGGGAGGGGTCGCCGGACTGTAACGGTTTTCGAAGACGCCCTCTCCCCGCCTGGAGCCCCCCTCCCAGGTTCCCGGAGGCCCCCGCCATCCCCTCCCCCGCTAGCGAGGGCTCCGCAGGAAACTTTTTCCAGGCAGCTGCCAGCCCCGGAAAACCGGTCCCGCGCGGGGCCGCTCCCAGTCTGGGGCCCCGGGCTCTCGGTCTGTGTCCCACCAGCCCGTGTCCAGGGCTCCCCAGAAACACCCAGGCGGGTGCTCCAGGTCTCCGTTTATTTCTGCGTTTTCGGTCTGGCTCTCTCATTTGATTCTTCTGGGGATGGCAACGACCTACCCCGTCCCACAAGGAAGTGCCTTGCCACAGTGGGGGGGGGGGGGGGGCGCCCCCCCCCCCCCGCCCGCGGCGGAGGCGCCCGGGGGGGGGGGGGGGGGGGGGCGGCGACGACGCCCACCCCCTTCTCAGCCCGCCAGCCCCCCGCGCCGTCCTGGAGAGGGTACTGAACTTTGTGGGAGCTGGCTTTCCCAGAGCCCAAGCCGGAGGCGGCGCGGCGAGGAAAGGGCCACCGCGAAGTCCCCGGCACACGCCGGCCGCCTTGGCGGGCGTCCTGGAGGATCTGGTGCCTGGCCGGGGTCCGCTCGCGGGGAGCCGCACCTGTGAGCAGGTGTGAGAGGTCAGAAGGGCCGACTGAGTTTGGGCAGCCCGGGCCGCTGCTGTGCCAAGGGTGCAGCTTGCCGCCTTCCCTGGGCGGATGAAAAGTTTCTGCGTCCTGGTGGGTCCCCAGCGCTCAGGCTACCTTTCATTCATTCGCTCATTCATTGCTAAACGTTGCACCAGAGAATTTGCCTCAGTTTCTCCCGCGTTCCCACCCCCACCCCACCCTACCCCCAGAGCGCGGAAGGACTGTCGCACCGCGGCAATGAATCTAGACCACAAGATTTAACCTTGAGAAGTAAGGCGGCCCCTTGAAGCGATTATGGGAAAGGGAGTCGGTGCGTAAAACTAACCATATGCCAAGTTTAGTTTCTTTCTTTTTCTTTTGCGCTGCAGAAGCGCTTGAGAAAATTTCGTGAAGCTGCCTGCTTTTCCAGGCGCTCACCCATTGCTCTTCGCGCACCCGCACGCTTGGGGTCGAAACGTGACCTGAGGGTCCATGTTTCCTGTTTCTCTTTTCTTTTTCGAATTACGACTTTTCTACCTCATCTAGGAGGAAGATTTCCCCAAATAAGAAACATTTTTCACGGACCTTCAGTTCACCTTGTCGGACACACACACTTAACGTTTGTAACTAGCCTCTTTATAGATTAGGGGGTTTTGTTGTATTTTTCGTATCAGTTTCAATGCCGGAGTTTGACTTCCTTACATTCCTTAACCTTCGAACCTCCCTGCACTCTGTAATGGCCACAGCCTGTCTGAGGCATGGGGTCTAGCTAAATAAAGAAAATTCTCTGTCCACGGAGTGGGAAACCTACCACCGCTGCACCCTCCCTAAAATAAAGCCGGGTGTTCTGGATCGAATTTTCTCGTTAATTCAGATGTTCTATATACCATTGCAGAAATTATATTTCCTGAGGATCCAAACCCTGACCAGTCCACAGCGAAGAAAATCTTGCTTCTTTAAAACACAATTGACGAATTCCTACATGATTAGTAAAACTCTTTTCTGGAGATTGCTAAATAAGGATCTGAAAGGAAACAAAGTCGCGTTTTATACCTAGAGGAGCAGGTGAACTAGTTAATTTAAAAAGTAGCAATTTTAGGCATATATTCAGTATTTAGAAATCGAGCCAGAGGGGAGGAATACGGCATTTAAAGGAACGCTGAAGAGTGTTAAAGAGAGGTGTGCATGAGTTTTGTTTGTTTGGTTGGTTCGTTTGGTTATTATGATTTCAACAATGCAGTTTGTTGAAAGTCCCCTGTGGAGAAAGAAAGAAATGCCCATGGCCCCCAATAGCAGGGGCTGGCTTAGCCTGTGTAAGGAGACAAGTCCAGACCAGGCAAAAGAATCTAGGCTAAATCTTTGGGTTCTCTGATTGCCAGGCGACATTGGAGGCTAGCAGCTTTATGACACCAGGAGGATTGGCCACATCACAGGTTGGGACCCTCAGAGGGAAGGGGATGTAGAGAATCTAACTAAGTCTTTGACCAAAACGTGACAGAGAACCTAGGCATTTTAAAATTGTCATTCTTTTAAAGGTAAAAGGAGGCATGGGAACTTGGCCTTGTAAATGAACATTAAGGGTATTTTCAAGGCCGGCTTGAGGGAAGAACAGCCAGGCTAGCAGATCAGGTCTACTTGCAACTTCAGGGCTTCTTTTCCGTTGTGATCATCAGCATAGTCTCTTGTCCTTTCTTCCATGGTGTACTTTCTTCTCCATTTCTTTCCTGATCTCAAACTGCACAAAAATAGCCCCCTCCCTCTAATCTATTCCTGGTTAGTTCCTGTTTTACCCAGAAATAGTTCTTCTGCCAATACTCCACATCCCTTACCTATTCAACCTCTTTTTCCAATTTTTTGAGTTATTTTAAAGCCTGGGGCTAACTCTTAGTTGTACTGTTAAGAAGCTAAATCTTTTTTTTTTAAAACATTTTATTAGGGGCTCATACAACTGTTATCCCAATCCATACACACATCAATTGTGTAAAGCGCATTTGTACATCAT